CCGCTGCTGCTGCTGCTGCTGCAGCAGCAGCAGCTGCAGCAGCAGCTGCAGCAGCGTAGCGGTTTCCTGGAGAGCTGAACAACGTGCATAGTTGTAGGCAATTTGCTTCCCCACATTTTCAATTTTTGTCCCGGGATTAATTTTTTGTTTTATTATTTTCATTTTATCTTTGTTTTCATTTATTTGCTGCTGCTGCTGCTGCTGACCTGCTTCTCCCCTCAGTGCCCGCAGCGCTCGCATGCAGTGTTGCTGAAGGTGCTCGCTGCTGCAGCTCCCGCTGCTGCTCCCGCTGCTGCTGCTGCTGCTGCTGCTGCTGCTGCTGCTGCTTGCATGTAAGGCCTGCGCTGCTGGTGGTGAGGGCTTAAACTGGAGGCAGTCTGCGAGTTTTTGGCCGCCCCTGTAGGCCTTGATTCGAGGGCAGCAAATAAGAACGCTGCTGCTGCTGCTGCTGCTGCTGCTGCTGCTGCTGCTTTTCTAGGGGATGGGGTCTGCAGCAAACCGTAGCTGAACTGCAGGCGGTTTTGTGTTGCGTGCATTTCTTTTCTCTTTGTTGAGTTGGCGTTGCGCAGAGAGTGAGGAGGTGTGGCAGCAGCAGCAGCGGCAACAGCAGCAGCAGCAGCAGCAGCAACAGCAGCAGCAACAGCTGCAGCAGCCACAGCAACAGCTGTTGGCAGCTGGTGGAGCGTGCTGCTGCTGCAGGGTTGGTGCGTTGCTGCTGCAGAAAATGGATCCGTTCATTGCTGCTCCTTCTTTGATCACCAGCGGCGATGGCTGGACCGAACACATTTCCAAAGAAGGAAGAAAGTACTATTACAACACTTTGGTGAGTCTGCTGCTGCCGCTGCTGCTGCTGAGGTGTACAGACACCGCGGCAGCAGCTGCTGCTGCTGAGGTGCCCAGACAGCGCAGCAGCACCCGTCACCCCTGCAGCAGCCCCTCACCCCGCCGCCCCCGCGACCACCACAAGTCGCCCCACCACTGCCGTTGCTGCTGCTGCTGCTCCCGCCGCTGCCGCTGCCGCTGCTGCTGCTGCTGCTGCTGCTGCTGCAGACGCAGGAGAGCCAATGGGGCAAGCCGCTGTCGCTGCAGACGCCCGAAGAGGCGCAGATTTTGCTGAAGACCGGCTGGCAGGAGTTTTGCAGCGCCGACGGGAAGAGCTACTGGTTCCACAGCGCGACGAAGCGGAGCGTGTGGAACACGCCCAAGGAGGTGGAGGAAATGCTGAAGGTAAGCTGCGGATATCTGCGGATCCGCCGCCGATCTCGCCCTCTGGGCGCTTCATTTTCGCTTTAATATGCATTTCTGGCCGTTTAATGAACCTTTTTTTGGCCGCTGGCGAGGTTTTCCCGCAGCTTTCCACTTTTTGCAAAACGCAGGCGGCCGGCGGCTGCGGCCGACGCCGCCGCTGCTCGGGCGGCGAGTCAGTTCCGTTTGGGTTCATTTTTATTTCGTTTTTGTTCGTTTATTTCGTTTTTTATTTGGTTCCTGTTTGTGGCGGGTGGTTTCCGCTGCTTTCGGCTGCTGCTGCGCCGTTTTGCAGCAAGTGCTGCTGCTGCGCACTTTTCAGCTCGCTGCTGCCCTTGAGAGTCCTTCATTCCGCTGCCGTTGCTGCTGCTGCAGCAGCAGCAGCTGCTGCTGCTGGCACTTGGGTTGGTTTGGCTTTCGGGGCGCCTCGCAGCGGCGTGGAGGCGGCATTTGATGCGCCGCTGCTGCTGCGGGTGCTGCTGCTGCTGCTGCTGCAGTCGCTGAAAGAAGAGCGAGAAGACTGGCCGCAGTTCAAGAGCAAAGAAGAGGCGAAAACGTTCCTGGTGGTGAGCTCCCCTTTCCCGCAGCAGCAGCAGCAGCAGCAGCAGCAGGAGTTGCACTTGGTCGATATTTTCGAGAAAAGCAGCTTTCCGTGGGGAACTTGCTGCTGCCGCCGGCCCCGAGCTGCGGAAGCTCCGCTTGCGACCGAAAAAGCCCCGAAACGCCGCCTTTGCATGCAGAAACTGTTCGAACTGAAGAAGTTTCCGCCGCGGATCAGCTGGGAAAACGCCTCCAAGATCCTCGAGTCCGACCGCAGGTGGTCCTGCTTCTCCATTTTGACGCGCGGCGAGCGAAAGCAAACCTTCGCCGAGTTCATGGGCTCCCGCGGCAAGCGCGCTGCGGAGGAGGAGCGCCAGAAGCGCAAAAAGGTGCTGCTGCTGCTGCTGCTGCTGCTGCTGCTGGGGGTGCTGCTGGGGGTGCTGCTGGGGGTGCTGCTGGGGGTGCTGGGGGTGCAGCTGGGATGGGAGGTGCTGCTGCTGGGATGGGAGGTGCTGCTGCTGGGATGGGAGGTGCTGCTGCTGGGATGGGAGGTGCTGCTGCTGCTGCAATGCTGCTGCTGCAATGCTGCTGCTGTCCGTCAGTGGCTGCGTGGCCGCAGCAATTGCATGTTGATTGGCTGTTGCTAGTTGGATGTTTAAAGCATTTGGAAAGATCTCAAGTTTAGAATTTCAAATTTTAAGTCTTTAAAAGTATT